CTTTTTAACCGGTTGGAACCGGCAACAAATTAATTTGAGACTATTTCATAAACTGACCCAAAATATTGGGACTATTTCACAAAATGACTCAAAATATTGGGAATTTTCTGCAAAAAAATATGATGACTTTTCTGCAAACAAAAAACCTTATTATTATTATTATTATTATTATTATTATATAAACAAGTATACTAATTTTTAAATTCTTTATTATTAATATTTTTAATAATACATATAAATACACTTAAATAAAAAAAAAATATTAAAGAAATTATTTAAAGGTGAAGGTGGTGGTGATGGTAATGCTTTAAGCATTGAAATCATTAATATATGATTCTATGTCCTCACTTTGTATATGATCATTTCACATTTCTTATTATTATTTTCAATTCAGAATATTAACACTTGATAATTTAAAAGAAGTTGTCTATTTGTAAAATTGTGTATAAATAGTTTAGGATAAAATGATTTCTCACTTTGTATATAAATTTTTTTAAGGTAGAAGGATTTATTTTCAAATCCAACAGATCCACAATAAATATTTACATTGGCGGCCCATATCAAAATTCGAAAGTATTAATTACAATATCTTGTTTAATAGAAAGTAATATGACTTGTTTTGTTTTATCACACTATAAAAACAATAGTAACAAATGTGAAATGATCCTATACAAAGTTAGAATATACAAACAAACGTTCATGATTTCAATGCTTAAAGCATTACCATCCGCTCCACCTTCACCCTTAAAAAATATTTTTAATATTTTTTTTAATTTAAATGTATTTATATGTATTATTAACAATACTAATAATAACAAATTTAAAAAATAGTATACTTATTTATATTTTTAATATTATTATAATAATAATAATAATTATAATTATAATAATAATACTAATAATAATAAGATTTTTGTTTGCAGAAAAGCCATAATATTATTATTTTTTTGCAGAAAAGTCTCAATATTCTGGGTCAGTTTATGAAATAGTCTCAATTTAATTTGTTACCGGTTCCAACCAGTAAAAAAGGGTCAAAATGCAAACTTTTGCCGGTTTTTAGGATTTTTTCGTAAACAAAAATTAGTTTAGGACTAAAACATAAACCGGGCCAAAATTTTAGGACTTTATTGGAGATTTCCCTTATCAAAAGTTCAAAATTTAATTTAAAATGTTACCTATGTATGAGAACCGGATAACCGGCTACAACAAATCATAAGGGGCAAAACAAATCAAAACTCGGACTTTAGAATCCAATTTAACGTGTTTTCTCCGACTAAATCAAGTTAGTTTTGATTTTTTGATGGTAAAACTCTTTAAAAAAAAAAAAAAAAAAAAAAAAAAAAAAAAAAAAAAAAAACTCTATTTACAGCTTACTCAATTTACTATATGTAAAACCCTAATTCCCAATACTTCTACATTTTACCCCGACGGGTAAACTACTTGGTTCGTCGGATTGTAGGATGGGTAAGTTTCTTCTTCATAAACCTCTATTGTTTTTTATTCTTTCAAAGTCGTGTGGGAAAGGAATTTTTGTTTGAATTCTATTGTTTAGGATTTCTTTTGTTCGTTCTAGTTTCAAACATAAACTCTGTTTTTGGGTAGTCGTTGTCGATCATTACGTATCCACTTGAAAACAGAAATCAGGAAACCGATTCCAGAAAATTTATTACATGAGTTCGAATATTATGTGATCATGTAAGTTGTTTTAACTTAGGTTTGTCAGGGAAAGCCATTGAGGATACATCAAAATCGAACCAAAAAGGAATTGTTTCCTTTTACACATAATTTGTGTCAGTCTAAGGTTTCGTGGCATGGGTGACACTTTTTCACTAGGTGAGCTTGTTTGGCGTATTCAAAGTACATAACCCAATATCAACTCATATAGCTCCTTTAACGGTTTTTAATGAACCCATTAACTGAAAACGCCTCTACCTTTGCTTTTGGATAGCTGATATTGCTTTAGGTTGGATTAATATCTATTAGTGCTACAAAATGTTATATGTGAGTCATATTTCCTGAAAAAAATGCTTACAACCATTAAATCATCATTATTGTGAACAAAACAATTTCTTTATCATGAGTTGTATGATAATAAAGGAAATTAAGAAGAGTATTCAACATGTCAAGTTGTTCCATGTTTCTTATTGCCTTCCATTTTTCTTTTAAATAACTTGGTCCTGTTTTTTTTCTGAACAGAGAGAAATAAAAAGAGGGTTGTCACTTGTGTTTGTTGAATGTGAAGCCACAATTGTTGAACGTGAAGCCACAATTGTTGAATGTGAAGTTTTTTCAAAGGTTGGCTGAAGACCCGGTTGTGTTTTTTGACTACTTCTGATTTCCATCTCTATATAAGAGATTCATCTGTATTTGTAAAACTTGTATCTAGAGTAACACAGAAAGAGTGTAGATTAGCACCAAGAAATATAAATTCCTAGTTATCGGTGGACGTAGGTCAGAGAAGGACCGAACCACGTTAAATCCCTCGTGTTCATCCTTGTGTTCTTGTTTTTCGTGAGCTGTGTGTGTGTTTAGAGTCGTGTGTTAAGTGTCTCGATCCTAACAAGTGGTATCAGAGCCTTGGTTTAGCTCCAGAGGGTGATTTTCTGTTTTTTGGTCGAAATTTTTTTCGTCAAAAACGATTTTGGTGTATACCGTTGGAAAGGTTTCGTTCCGAAGATTCCGAAAATATTTTTTTCTGAATTTTTTGACCACTGGAAGACGTCCAAATCGCCGGTCAAAGGTTTGCCGGAATAGTGACCGAGAAAACCAGTTCGCCGGAGAAGACGACACTGTAGCAGTCCGCCGGAGAAGACGACACTGTAGCACGACGTCAGCAGACACTGTAGCAGGCACTGTAGCAGATTTGAAAATTTGCAATTTGGCCCCTGAATTTCCAGAAAATTGCAAGATAGGTCATTGTTCTTTCAGAAAATGGCAGAAAGCAGTAAGCTTCAGATTGAGAAGTTTGATGGGAAAGATTTTGGTTGGTGGAAGATGCAAATTGAAGATTTGCTCGTACAGAAAGACTTGGACGCAGTTTTAGGTGAAAAACCGGAGGCGATGACACAGGCAAACTGGGAGACTTTGGATAAGAAGGTCAAGGCATTTATTAGACTGACGTTGTCAAAGGATGTTGCCTTCAATATTTTGAAGGAGACCTCGGCAAAGGGAATCATGGAGGCATTGTCTAATATGTACGAGAAGCCGTCGGCAGCAAATAAAGTCTTCCTGATTCGGGAACTAGTCAACACGAGGATGAGGGAAGGAAGTTCAGTTACAGTACACATCAACAATTTGAACTCGATTTTATCCAGACTTGGGTCAGTGGGAATAAAATTTGAGGACGAAGTTCAAGCTTTACTACTGTTATCATCATTACCCGACAGTTGGTCCGGAACAGTTACAGCCGTTACTAGTTCCGCAGGATCGAAAGAGCTCACTTTTGAGGGAATTCGGGATTTAATTCTAGGCGAAGACGTCAGACGAAGAAATTCCGGGGAATCATCAAGTGAACAATTGAATGCGGTTAGAGGTAGAAGAAATAACAGAGGTAGTGGGAGCGGGAACAGGAGAAGGAGTCAGTCGAGGACTCGAAATGATGTGACTTGTTGGAACTGTAAAGAGGTTGGACATTTCAGGAATCAATGTCCAAAAGACAAGAAAGAAGTTAACGTTGCAGTAGACCATTCAGATGATGATGTTTTGATCTGTAGTGTGGAGAGCAATGTGGATTCCTGGGTTATGGATTCGGGTGCTTCATTTCACGCTACCCACATCCGTGAAGCACTGCGGAATCTGAAAGAAGGGGATTTTGGTAAGGTAAGACTGGCGAACGATGAGGTTCTTGATGTGACGAGCATAGGTGACTTAGATCTGAAGACTCCAGTCGGTCCATGGACTTTGAAGGATGTCCGGGTAATTCCAAGTCTGAAGAAACAGTTGATTTCTGTTGGGCAGTTGGATGAACAGGGACACGAGGTTAAGTTCAGGAATGGGCAGTGGAAGGTTGTCAAAGGAAATCTTGTGATAGCTCGTGGACATAAGAGGGGTTCATTATATATGGTCAGTTTACCGTCTGAGGGAGTAACCGTCCCAGTTCAGAAGAAAAACAAAATCCGGTTCATAGAGTCTCGTGGACAGAAGAAGGTTTGCTTTGCAGATGGCAAACCCAGAGTCACAGATCAGATTCAGGTTGAACGTGTTTGGAACGGTTCAGAAAAACCAGTCAAGGGCATTCATAGCAGTGGGAGCATAGGCTTTGTTTCAGCTAGAATACCCAGAACACAGTGGGTTAAGAGAACCAGTATTCCATCTGTAAAAGTCTCTCCAGATTATCTGCTTCACATGGAGAGTGTCGTTTGTTCTCATGATGTTCCAGGATCGGGCAGTTCATTTCAGTGGGAGCCGGTGGAGACAGAGAACAGGTAAATTGAAGAGAAGGCCGGGTAACTAGGAAGGAGTTAAGATCAAATTTTTTAAAATACAGATGCACAGTTGAAGCACAGGTGAAGATTGTTCTGTGGCTTCAAGTGGGAGATTGTTGAATGTGAAGCCACAATTGTTGAACGTGAAGCCACAATTGTTGAATGTGAAGTTTTTTCAAAGGTTGGCTGAAGACCCGGTTGTGTTTTTTGACTACTTCTGATTTCCATCTCTATATAAGAGATTCATCTGTATTTGTAAAACTTGTATCTAGAGTAACACAGAAAGAGTGCATATTAGCACCAAGAAATATAAATTCCTAGTTACCGGTGGACGTAGGTCAGAGAAGGACCGAACCACGTTAAATCCCTCGTGTTCATCCTTGTGTTCTTGTTTTTCGTGAGCTGTGTGTGTGTTTAGAGTCGTGTGTTAAGTGTCTCGATCCTAACAGTGCTAAAGAAGATAGAATCAGTAACTTGCCTGAACACTTGATAGACTCAATCTTAGAGCGGGCCCCGCTTGAAGAGGCTGTAAGGACAAGCATTTTATCAAAAAGTTGGAGGTACAGATGGACCAAAATGGGGGCACTGGCTTTTGATGGGCAGTTCTTCAAAAAATATGAGAAAAACGGAGCTTTTGGTCGTAATGGGTTTATAAGGATCATAAACAAAGTCTTGATCCTTCACAATGGTCCTATCTCGAAATTTCTTCTCCATATGCCAAATATGAATATGTTTCTTGATAGCTTCGAAGAAGTCGATCAATGGATGATGCTCTTATCAAGAAACGGAGTCAGGGAACTCATTCTTACTATTTCAAATCGACGTTATGAACTTCCTTCTTATGTGTTTTCTTGTCTAGAATTGACAAAGTTGAAATTGAAAAACTGTTTCTTTAAGCCTCCACTTAATTTTGAAGGATTTCTCAATCTTGATCACCTTATTCTCCGACATGTGGATTTTAGGGCTAACTTGTGTGGAACTCAGATTAAATTACCACAACTTAAGAAGTTGTCTCTGCATTCGTGCGCAAACGTTTACAATTTCAACATCAAGGCTACAAATCTATTCCGTTTGGCTATCACTGCTTGTCCTGATGCCATGTTGGCCACAATGTTAAGTAACATGACCAAAATTAAATGTTTTCATGTCGATGCTCAGTTTCTCAAGGTATAATTCGCATGCCCTTTTGAAGCCATTCTCTTCTTCAAAACAAATTGCTACCTTTCTCGAATGTAGTTCTTTTTTCATTTAATCTAACTTGCACCTCATAGATTTTTACTGCAGAAAATATTCCAAACTGGCTTCCGCATCCGGTTAATAGCTTTACGGATGTGTGGTTTGGAAAATTTCAACTTGGTGACTTGCATCAACTTCATGGTGCTCTTTGTTTGCTTCGAAACTCACCAAATCTAAATACACTGGGGATGCACTTTGAGATGGTAAAGTAAAAGTATATTTGATTTTCTTGTATTATACAAGAGTTGAATGCTAAAGTGCGGTTGCATTTTTATGTTATTTCAGAAGCCTGGAGTTAACGTAGGACCAGCTTCAAGTATTTTGGAATCTCCAAACTGCGTAGTCTATAAATTGTATAGGTTGCAAACTGTTGAGATAACATGTTTACATGGATCAAAACCGGAACTGCTTTTTGTAAAACTTCTTCTTGCTCATTCCCCTTCTCTCCATAAGTTTACCATCACACCAAGTCGAGCTCTTGATGTTAAAAAAATACTTGACATTTCAAAGGATGTTATGCGGTTCCCTCGAGCATCACCAAAAGCTGAAATGATCTACTTGAATCCTTAGCCATAACTTTGTAACAAAGTTTAACAACATTGTAAATTAGCTTTAAACGTTTTCTAACTTATGAGTCTATTTGCATTATTATGATGTAATTTGAATGGTACCTACTCATTGTACTTGACTTTTGCTTCCGTTTGGGGTGTGATAACACATGTAAATAGTTGTACGCATGAAGAGAGACTGATATTTTGAGTTTTAGATGAAAGCTAAGTCTTACAATTTAAACCACCAGTACAGGTTTTGATTAAAGGGTGCTTGGTTTTGTTAATGACAACTGTCAAAGAATATGGAATGATGGAGAATAGTAACGTATCCTACCATTCATATTGCGTTAAATATACTTGGCTAATATTGGAAGTAAATAGAGAAAATCACAAAAATAGCCATATAACTTAAAGAGTTTTTAACAATATTGCCACAAATTCTGAATTTTTCTGCGCCGCTAAGCCTTTTTATATTTAACTATTGGTATGGTCGTCAATTTATATTGTAATATATTAAAATCATATCATCGCATTAGCGTACACACATATTGAACATGAATAAAGTTGAAGTATATACACTAACCACTATCAAGCCATTCGTTATGATATGGGATCGACTTAGATCATTTAGAAGCCCCAAACTATTTGGATTGTATATTGGATCAGTTGCAAACTTTTGAGATGACATCTTTAGAAGAATCAAAACTGAAACTACTTTTTATAAAGCTTCTTCTTGCTCATTCCCCTTATTTCCAAAATTTACCATCACACCAAGTCGAGCTTTTGATATTAAAAAAAAAAACACTTGACATTGCTAAGGATGTTATGCAGTTCTCTCGAGCCTAATCAAAAGCAAAATGTTCTACTTAAATTTAAGCCATAACTTTATAAGAATGCTTAACAACATTGTAAATTAGCTTTAAACGTTCTATACTTCTACCTTTCTGATCATATTTGCATTATAATGTAATTTGAAAGGTATTTGCTCGTTGTTCTTGATGTGTGCTTCCTTTTGGTGTGTACTAACACATTCATGTAAATAGTTGTACGTGTGAAGAAGATGTAGGAAAATATAGGGTTTGTAGTGGAGATCCGGATACCAATTTGGATCGTGAAAACACTTTCCGAACTGATATTTCTACCCTATGTCTGGGTTGCAAGAAATTCAGCATAGGATAATCCAAGTTGACACTTACGATTCTAGGCACAAAAATCGTAAGCCAAATTGCTAGAAAGATTTTGTGAATGTATGAAAACTAAGAGCTAGTTTTTATGTGTATATCTCTTCCCAAAAAGAAGAATCGTTTATATAATAAACGAGATTGGGTTTCATTAGGGTTGGGCCGTCATCAGTTGCTTTGGAAGCAAGTCAGGGTAATCTGGATTTAAATAAGGATATATCTCTGCCCCTTGGACCTCGCTAGGGGCACTGCCCCTAGACCCCGCCAAAGGGGCGCCACCCCTTTGGAAACCCCGGACCCCCGACTTGTCGTCGAACCAGCTTCTAATTCGATCTTATACATGCGTGCACTCCGCACCAACCCGTACATATATTAGAGTACAAATTATGAAGCCCCTTATCTCACATGTTAATTCCAGTTACATAAAATGACATAGTGACACTAAAATCACCAACAGAAGAGACAGTCTTTTGGATTTTGAATGAAAACTAAGTTTTTACAATTTAAAACAATGATAACGGTTTTGACTAAAAGGTGATTGGTTTTGTTAATGGCAAAGAATATGAGATGTTGGTCGTAATGGGTATTCTACATGGCTTAGTTTGGTTAACATATAGTCATACCTATCTTACATCAAGTTGACACTTTTAAGTTGATATTAATTAATACAAAACTTATCTTTACGTTTTGGATTTAGTTTTTTATTTAATAAATGTCATTTTGAATAAAATAACACGTAATTCGAATTAATAATATACAAATAATTAATTATCTTTGTAATCTTGTAATAATATATTTTACAAAGTTTTTATATAAAAAGTTGTAAATAAATATGTAAAAAGTTAATAATTTGAGGGTTGTTTTTTAATAATCTATATAAGTTTTAAAAAAGGAATATATATTTTTCGTGTAGAAAATGGTGTTATGTTTGAGATGAAATACTATTTACACACCATTTCAATGTAAAAAATGGTGTTGACCGAGTTGGATATGGTCTAAAATGTTGAAATGTGACAATCAAAATGAAATAGAATTTGAAGTTTATAACACTGGGGATGCTTACACGTTGCATTGAGTTTATTAATTTCGTATTTCGACATCTTTTGTATAATGTTATCTTATATAATGACTATTTACATAATTTCACGATTACATCTTCATTAAGATAATTTTATATTATTTATGGACCATTTCTATGAAGATGGTATTACATAGGGACCATTTATGTAATTTTATTATGATAAAGACCATTTATGTAATATTGATATTATATAGACTCCATAACTTTTTCATACACATAAGTTGTTACTATAATTTTATCCTACATGTGGACTATTTCTTATTTCTATAAATTTAATACTACAAACGACCATTTTATAATTTTTTCAAATATAGAAAACATTAGATAATTTTACAGTGACTATTTAAGAAAATTTCAAAAGATCAATAAATCTTTCTATTCTAATAAATGAATAAGTTTATTCTTCTATTGACAAATGTCATATTATTAGAACTCATCGTTAATATTATATGTCACATATTATGCCACTTGTCAACCTATTAATTATCAATTTCAAATTTTAAATTTTAAATTTTTACTCTAATTACATTAAATTAATAATTGATTCTCCATTTTAAATTTTTCACTCTAATTATATTAAATAAATAATATTAGATTAAAAAATAAAATAAAATTAATACAAATTATAAGGTGAAATAATTTCACATATTCATTTAAATTAACGATTATAATTTTATATAACTAAAAAAATATTTGTTAAGTAATAATTTATTTAAAATAATTGATTAATAATTTTGATTTTTTAATATGAAAGTTTAATTAATTTTATAACCATTGTTCTACGAGGTATAAAGTAGTATAACATAATATCCATATAAATATCATTTGTATAATTTGCTCAATCATAAATACCATTAGATAACTACAATAGAGACCAATTCTTGTATTTTTCAAACATACGAGCAATTAGAATAATTTCCCACTAACCGTTTCTATAAATTCTAAAAAAATAAGGATCAGTTATGTTGTTTTTTCAAATAAAAGGACCGTTACATAATTTTAAAAGGACTAGTTTTCTAGTTTTTTTTTCAAACATACGGATTAATTGAGAATTTTAACGAAATATATTAAAACAAAAAATACACGAGTTCCAAAAATGGTAATCGTATTTCAACTTCACTCTTCAGGAATCGAAGCGTAGAGGAACACTAACCTAATCATAGTGTTTAGTTGGGTGAAACATATGAAAATTTTAATAATTGTAATTAGGTTAGTTGGTGTAATTATCCTTTCAATATTTTGTAAATTTTTTTTTTCTTTCCTATCCGGTATTATTCTTTTAGGGTGTTAGTCTTTTAAAGAAATTCTACCGTTTCCAAAAAAGCAATTGTTATAAGTACCCCTTCAATTGTGTGTACCCCTCATTGTGAGAGGAGGGCTCATTGTGAATGGATTTGACTTATAGCACAACCTTCTAAAAATAAAAAGGAATTACCGCTTACTCTTTACTACATATCCGATTTAGGACTGGTGGATAGTAAACCCTAATCCCCAATTCTTCGACATTTTACCGCGAAGGATCAACTGCTTGGTTCGTCAGATTGTAAGATGGGTAAGTTTCTTTTCATAAACCTCCATGTTTTTATTCTTTGAAAATCGTGTGGGAAAGGATTTTTTTGGATTGTTGTTTAGGATTTCTTGTTCGTTCTTGTTGGAAACATAATCTCTGTTTTTCGTGGTCGTTGTCAATCATTACGTATCCACTAGAAAACAGAAATCAGGAAACTGATTTTCCAGAAGATTTATTACATGAGTTCGAATATGAAGGGTAAAATCTAGTTTTTGCCAGTAGAATGTATATTATGTGACCATGTAAGTCGTTTTAAGTTAGGTTTTTACTAGGGGAAGCCATTGATGCAAAAACTTGAGGATACACCAAAATCGAACCAAAAAGGATCGTTTCCTTTTACACATTCTAGGATTTCGCGATATGGGTGACAGTTTTTCACAAGCACGTATATTGTTTGGCATATTCCATCACACATAACCCATAGCTCCTTTAACTGTTTTTAATTAACCAGTAACTGAAAAGGCCTCTACCTGTGGTTTTGAGTCACATATCCTCAAAAAAAAATGCTTACAACCATTAAATCATGAGTATTGAAAATAAAACAATTTCATTATCATAACTTATGTTACTTATTGCCTTTTATTTTCTTTTAAATAGTTTGGTCCTGTTTTCTTCCGGATCTAACGACAGAGAATCATAGAGCTGAGGTTGTAACTTGTGCTAAAGAAGATAGAATCAGTAACTTACCTGAACACTTGATAGACTTAATCTTAGAGCGGGTCCCACTTGAAGAGGCTGTAAGGACAAGCATTTTATCAAAAAAGTGGAGGTACAGATGGACAAAAATGGGGGCGCTGGTTTTTGATGAGCAGTTCTTCAATAAATATTCAAAAAACGGAGCTTTTGGTCGTAATGGGTTTATAATGATCATATACAAAGTCCTGATCCTTCACAAGGGTCATATCTCGAAATTTCTTCTCAGATATACCAAATATAAATATGTTTCTTGATAGCTTTGAAGAAGTTGATCAATGGATGCTACTCTTATCAAGAAATGGTGTCAAGGAACTCATCCTAACTAATTCAAGTCAATGTTATAAACTTCCTTCTAATGTGTTTTCTTGTCTAGAATTGAGAAAGTTGGAACTGGAAAACTGTTTTTTCAAGCCACCAGATGAGTTTGAAGGATTTGTCAATCTCAACGATCTTGAACTCTGTAATGTTGATTTTGGGGCTAATTTGTGTGGAACTAAGATCAATTTACCACAACTTAAGGAGTTGTCCCTGTTTAGGTGCACAAATGTTTACAATTTCAACATCAAGGCTACAAAACTAAAGAATTTGATTGTCTTCGAATCTCCTGATTCCATGGTGCTTCACTTATTGCACAATCCATGCCTTACTAAGGTTTTTATGTCTTTTCTGAAACCTATAGATGAGTTTGTAAGAGATGAAGGAAACACATTGTCCATTGTGTTAAGTAACTTACCCAAAATTAAATCGTTATATCTTGATGGTCTTTTCTTTAAGGTATGATACAAAGTGAACTTTTAGTGTTATACCTTTTGTCTTTTCTTTAGGTAAGTTATGATCTCACTTTCACTTCACAGGTTTTGATTGGAGAAAAGATTCCAAAATTGCTTCCATGTGTGATTAGTAGTTTAAAGCATCTGTGGTTGCTATATTATGAAATTGCTGATTTGGATCAACTTCATGGTGCTCTTTGTTTGCTTCGGAACTCACCGAATTTAGAAAGTCTGTCTGTGAGGTTTTTGGAGGAGGTAAAGTAACGAGTGCTAAAAGTATATTTATTAGAGTAGGATGCGGATGCGGATGCTCACCACTCTTGCATTTTTATGTTTTTTTCTACAGGAACCTCAAGCCATTCGTTATGATGTGGGACCAGCTTCAGATCATTTAGAATCCCCAAACTGCTTGGACTCTACATTGGATCAGTTGAAAATTGTTGAGATGACATGTTTAAAAGGATCAAAACCGGAACTGCTTTTTATAAAGCTGCTTCTTGCTCATTCCCCTTCTCTCCAGAAGTTTACCATCACAACAAGTGGAGATCTTGATGCTAAAAAAATACTCGACATCTCAAAGGATGTCATGCGCTTCCCTCGAGCATCACCAAAAGCAGAAGTGGTCTACTTGAACTCGGAGACATAATTGTGTAAGAATGTTTAACAACATTGTAAAGTAGGTGTAAACGCTCTACCTTATGAGCATATTTTCATTATGATGTAGTTTGAAATGTTCGTATGCGTTTTGATTTTTGCTTCCGTTTGGTGTGTGATAACACATGTAAATAGTTCTATGCACTAAGAAGAGACAATCTTCTAGATTTTGAATGAAAGCTAAGTTTTACGATTTAAAACCACCAAGTAAGGTTTTAGTTTTGGCTAAAGGGTGCTTGGTTTTGCTAATGACAAAGAATATGGAATGTTGGTGAATAATAGTGGGTATTTCAACATCCATATTGCATCAATGATATCTGGTTGATATTGAAAGTAATAATTAGAGAAAGTCACATGTAGTATGCCACAAATTGGGAACTTTATCTAGTGCCAAAAATGGTTCCCCGTATTTAAGGTATTTTCTTCGATTTTCAAACTAAAGTGCATATCGAAAAGTCTCTTGATCATAATCCAGAATTCGGAATTGGCTTCATGTCTCCAAACGGACAAGCAAGACTCCTAAACTCTTTGAAAATGTTTTTCTAGTGTACAAATATGGGATTATTTGTTAAAAAATGTGAAATTTACAACTTTGTGTTGCATTTGCATTGCACGATTGTAATTTCAACTATATCCACACGTTGGAAAAATACAATTATATATTTAAAATATATATAAATATATCTTATTAAAAGTTATCATGTTCGTTATTAAGTTTGAAATAATAATTTTTATATTAATTTAGTAGGGATAGTAAGGGTTGGCATGGCCCACAGAGGTTTTGTTGGGAAATTATATAAATACTGTAAGATAGTTGTTATTAGTGTTGGATATTTAAGTATGAACACATAGCAGTTCAAGCAAAGCAGCAATATTTCATGATTTAAAGACTTTGTTTGGTTATAGGAACAACCTTTAAATCCGGTCATTTAAAAGAAAGCTTATTTATTCATGATTTAAAGACTTTATTTGGCTTTGAAAACAACCTTTAAATCCTTACTTTATAAACAAGTAATGCCTTAAACACAATTTGGCAGCTATAATTAGAAAGAAAAATGGAAAGATAATACTGGAAATATGTTGTTATTCCTACGTTATATGTAGAACAAAATAACATATTATTCATTAATAGTTTATGTTTCCATTTTCGCACCCATAAAAGAAAAAAAGATTGTAAGAATGGTAGCAACAATAATAGATGCTTAATTTATGCGATTCTCCCTTAGTACCTCTTTTTTTGAAATAGAGAATTTTGTTCATATATTTACAATAGGTGACTTAGCAAGAAAAGAGTCGATGTTGCACCTTCGACATAAGCGCATGTCGATGGTGTTGCCACCATTATCCTCCGCAAGGGCAACATCCACAGTAGCTAACTGATGTTTGGAAGACACTTGGCTGCTGGATGTGTCTGGTTCTTCGTCTGAGGGGGGCATTGAGAAACCCATCAGACCAGGCCGAATCGGAGAAACATGCCTTGACCCATGGTCAACGGTTGGGGCACTAGTCACGAAAACCCGCCTGACACCGGCGGGAGCCGGGAGCGTCTCCACCAGAGGGATCTCATGATACTAAGATCCCCTTTAAAATTCCCTCGCAGCACTTGTTCAAGAGACAGAAGCTTCTCATTACTTGCAACAGTAACAAAGCAAACCCCCTTATGCTTTAGCAAAGAAATTTTACATAAACAGGGGGGGGGGGGTTAAGAAAGTAACGCTTAATGTCACTTTCTACGTAAAACTGAGGCATCATCCCACGCGACCGTGAAGCAGCACTCATTCCGGCTGCAGCCAACATGAAATCTGGCCAATTCTCGTCGTTGAAACAAATCTCTCTTAGCAAGCGAGCCACCGACAAAATGGCCCCCGACAATTGGGGTGCCCGATTTGAAGACATGGGCACACGAGGATAGTCAGGCCCGACCAAATCACCGTTAACCCACAACCACCAATCCTGCCAGTTCTTTCGAGGCGCCTTTTAACTAACTATAAATGCGTGTGTACTGTAGCGCTGAGAAAAGGTGTGAAGACCCGCATAGGGAGACGAATTGAAGAAAGATTGGAATGCTCGAACATGGGGAAGGACGCCCAACGTCTGACACCCCAACTCAAACCCCACTATCTTATTCACATCGTTGGGGGTCAAGTCGTGAATAGAGAAACCATATTCTCGAATAACCTCGTCGAAGAAGTCCGAAACTAAAAGACGAAAACCGACCTCGAAAATCGCCACTATAATACCAACCTTCCCCGCCGACGTTTGATAAAAAGTAGACCCCTCTACCCGGAATTGAACACTATGTTCAGGAGTAAACCCAAACCGGAACTGAAGATACTCGAATTCCTCAGGCGTAAGGGTGGATCCAAATATGATGGAGGCCATCGGGAATTAGAGAAGAATGGCGTAAGAGAAAGAAAAAGCGACAAAGGAAAACGAGATGGCTAGTATACGGAGAAATGTAGCACATAACCGTTCCTTAAAATGGGGGAACCCTAAATAATTGCGAAGTGATGGAACCGAACCGTTCCGACGGCGGAAACTGTCTAGCCAGAACGACTATCTTACGTCAGAAATGCGTCACGAACCGTCCTCGCCAAACACATGCCCAAATCCACGCTAGAACAATTCAGCTAGCCCGAGCAAATGTTGGCACTTACTAGCCTAAGCAACTTTTTAACGTATCTCATCAACAATACATCGAAGGATAACAGGAGCATTAACCAAAAAGCAACCTAATCAAGGAGAGCCACCTAGGCGAGCGCCAGATCCGGGCCATCGCCCAAGAGCACTCGCACACTCATCCTCAAAACTCCACAAATCAGAGACAACTCCCCAGAATTGGGACCCATGGCTCCAATAGGACATAAGAGTACTTCCGGCTCCCACATATAGAAAGGTAGTGCTCTGAACCCCGCCTCCTGACAACGCCGCACCAATAGAAAACAACCATGTATGAGACACGTCCCGCCAATGAAAAACCTCTAGGACCTGTAGGGCCTGAAAATTTAAAAGATATTGTCGGGGATCTGTTCCCCCCAAAGACAGGTATAAAAAGGTCCCTTCTCCTCCAAGAGAAGGGACGAGTAATCTTTCTTTACCCTCCTCCTCTTAAATAGATTAGAACTCTCAAGGAAAGGGACTAACTTGACCGTCGGAGCTTCGTTTCGGGATCGCCCCCGGACGAAGTCTAATAGATTATTCTCTTGTGTTATGATTCTCAGGCTTCTCTACTCCAACCACCAAAGAAGACGAAGTCAAGCCGGAGACTTGTCATAACATCATGCAAGATTCTTAAATCACAACTAAACTTTAGATCCATAAGATATGATGTTCACGGGACCCTTAAAGGCCATAAAGTTGCCAACTTTATGGATTTCCTCAATGCAAAAACTTTCATAATCATGAAGGAAAAGGAGAAAGAACCTAGATCTAGCAACTCATAAAGGTTTAAACTTGTACACTTACAATGGTCCAGAATGTGCACAAGATGATGATGATGATGATGATGATGATGAAGCCTCCTTGCTGGACCAATACTCTAAAACACCTTCTTCTTCTTATTCTTTTAGCCACTAAAACACCAAGATAGATCCAAAACCACCAAGAGGGATGAGGGTTAGGGTTTTCTGAGTTGGAGGGAGGTGGAGGCTGAGAAATGAACCCTAAAATCGAGTTAAGGGAGCTTAAATACATGGGAAACCCTAAAAGTTGTGGGTTTGGGCTGCAGCGCTCCACACGTCGTGAGCTCCCATTGCTCACGTCGTGAGCTCAGTTCCGACAGAAATCTTCATGCATCTGATCTCACGTCATGAGCCCTTATCTCTCACGTCGTGAGGCTCCTTTTTTCTCCAAAACTCATCCTTTTGACTCCTTGAAGCCCCAATTCGATTCATCCAGGAAAACAGGTGTTACACCTTGCTTCCACATAAATCTTCAATTTTTTTTTCTACATTTGCATTGGACTTTCTTTACATGTATTGCTACCAAAATGATCAATAAACAATTACATCTTAGAGCCTTACGGGATGCATCCATCATTCACCATTTATACCATGATGCAAATGTCATGCATGGCTTCACTCTTAGCTGTCTAGCTTCATTACTTGATATAGATTTCCTACGTACCAGACTCTCCATTAGACGCACTGAATTAACACTCAACCCAATATATTTAATAGACAACGTCACACCAATATCCTTTCATCTAAGCCTCGTGATTGCATATATTCTCATGTAATCCCGTTGTCAATAAAACCAAACTCCATATCGATACTAGAGTTTGACCATCACAACGCTCTCTAAATATTTCCAACAACTGCATTCAATCAACTTAGTCCAAGACAACACAAGAATCTCGATGCTTGTTGGAACCATATCTGATTGTCTTCCTCCGATTGCATGTTTTACATTCTCTCGCTATATTACATGATATAACCTATGGGCATCGATCATATAGACCCTCCATACTTTTGCTATGCAGCTGGAGTTCAAATCAATTTCAGAAACTTCCCTTGGTTGCCGGAGAAAAATAAAATTAAGTAGACGTCTCCCGGTTCAACCCTATCGATGACAAACAACCTCACATATATCATCTAATTCCTCTTCCATCTCAGGTTGAGTAAAACATCTTCGTCCCTCAACACCCTTCTTGGTAAGATGACTAACATCACAGACCCACACTATATTATTTTGTTGGCACAATTGAGCATGTTGACATACACACCAACAGTTGGGAGGTTATCGCATAGTGAGGATGCTGCCATCAGACCACCATCGATCAAAAGAAACGGAACAACATTTATTATGTGTCTCTCTATCTCCCTTACCCTCTCGCTTGATTCCTCTCAAACATTGATTCTTCTTCAAACGTTGTGGGTTCATCATCAATCAACAATAGTTCTTGATTTCTCTCATATAGTCTTTGTACCTCCGCATCATCCATTCTCTCCGTGTTCTGGTAGATTTTGTGAATTGAACAAAACCCATTTGCTGGAGTATCATCGAACGAGGCGACATACCCACTATCTTC